GGACATGGGGCCTGTTCTCTGTAGGGTTTGCTGTGATGAAAATGCCATTTTGGGTGTGATGGTGAGTTCAGAGTGATTTTACAGCTTCTTTCCCCTTTTGTCTGTGTTTGACCAGCTCCGATCCCAAATACACCCATGTCCCGATCCCAAATAAATCCAGCTCTGATCCCAAATACCCCATCCAGCTCTGATTCCGATCCCAACCCCATCCAGTTCCCAATCCCAGCACCACCCAGTTCCCGATCCCAATCCCATCCAGTTCCCTATCCCAATGCCATTCAGCTCCAATCCCAAACCCCATCCAGCTCCTGATCCCGATCCCAGCCCCATCCAGCTCCCAATCCCAAATCCATCCAGCTCCCGATCCCAAATAAATCCACCTCTGATCCCAAATAAATCCACCTCTGATCCCAAATACCCCATCCAGCTCCCGATCCCGATCCCAATCCCATCCAGTTCCCAATCCCAAACCCATCCAGCTCCAATCCCAACCCCATCCAGCTCCCGATCCCAAATAAACCCACCTCTGATCCCAAATACCCCATCCAGCTCCAATCCCAACTGGATTTGGGATCATCCCTCTGTTTGGGGTGGTGTTTTTGGGAATCATCCCTTCCCCATGACTCATRTGTTTGGGTGCACACCCAAACCCTCTCCCAGACTTTTTTTTGGCAGGTGCCAAAAGCACATTTCCAATTTCTGAGCCGCTGCTGCCGAGCAAGTCAGGGCAGCATTTTACGGCATGGCTGCACCTCTGCAAAAATTATTGAAATATTCTAGCCAGTTCGTGTTTTCTCATCTTTAATGGCTAAAAAAAAACATTTTGAAGACACTTTTGAGATTTATCTTCTTCTTTTTTTCAGTGTCTCTGTGCAGAATTGAGTGTTTTGAGGTAAAGCTGAGCATAATTTGCTCATTTAGGGGTGAAAAGCYRGCACGGGCTGTGGGTTCCTCATGGYYTGGAGGGTTTGGGGCAGCRGRAACCCCACTGAAATAGGGATTTAATCCCACTGGAGKAGGTGTTTTAACCCCTCTGCCCACGGCACAGGATCCTTCCAGGAATGCCAGAGCTGCCCCAGCACCCAGCACTCCCCGTGGAWTTTATTCCACACCTTGCACAAATTCCTTTAAACTTCCTCTTGCTGCAACCGAGGCGTGGAAAACCTTCAGTCACTGATTAACTCAGGATTCCTCAGAAAAAAAATTCTGTTTTCTCCTCCACACCACAGAGAAACTCTGCATTTTCACCAGTTTTTTTTTTTTTATTATTATTATTTTTCCAACCTTCACAATGAATAACTGGGGAAACAAAATAAATTTTATTTCTTTATCCCATCCAGCTGTTTGTTAGGTGGTGGAGCAGAAATCTGTGATAAGGATCAGCAGGCAGAGCCAAACTGATAAATATTGGAATCTCGG